TGTTAGAATGCCATCCCATCCCCAAACATTGGATTTCTCTTCTATGTATAATGTTGCCAGTGCTGAGGCAAACAGGTCGGGTGGGGTAGTTGTTGATTACAATTTGCATGAAATCGTTAATTTGTACAACAGAAAAAAAAACAATGAAACAAAATGACCATATTACAACTAATTGATTCTACAGAGAGTCAATAAATATTTAATTAACAATCAGCCCTTCTGAATTGACAGAGGAGAAAACCAGCCTAACTGGTGCAGTAGAGTGAAGCAGACTGCTGCCTTACAAAGCACTCTCACAAACTGTTCATCTAACATCCCTGAATAAGAGACTACAACCAGCAACTGCCTGGCCAGGGTCAAATTCCAGTGGCATAACGAAAAAACATAGCTACACTTTTACACAACATTTCAATTTCTCCAGTCATATTTGTTATGATAGGATAGTGACAGACCTTGTCAATGGCCCTCATGTAAGCAACAGCTGTACACTGGCAAGTGATGTAAAAGTCCTGCACATCACTGATACACCCCCACAAGTGTTTTTACTTAGTCTGCCTGATTAAAGCTCTCATCAGAGCTGTGGGGGCATGTTCAGACCATTACCACCTGACATCTACCTAGCTCTCCTGTTTTACTCCACCTGTTAGGGTGGGACAACTTAGACCTTTGCCATTTTTTATTTCTTACAAGAGATATTTCAACTTGTCAAACACGGGTGTAATTAATAACATTAACATGGTATTTCCTTCTGTTCGGCTTCTGCAGAAGCATCTATATATATATCATTTTTTAATCAACATACGTAACCATCTTATGCTGAATTGAAAATGATACAAGTACTGAAGTCAATATGGACTTTGGTAAGCTTTCACAATTGGCCTTTTTTACAACGGACCTTAGGCTCGCTGATGAGCCAGGCCTGCACAGCATAGATAACCGGCAACCGCGGCACAATGCATGCTGCTTAGATTTGCGTCCAACTTGATCCTGACTTGCTCTTGCTCATGCACACATGGGCAACAACGACCTCACAAGATTGAGGCAGTCGCAGTTTTTAGAGCCAGGTGCCCCAGTTGCTCTCCACCAACTGTAAAACGCAGGGTCTGATGGGAAACTCCTGACTACAGCCTGATCAAAGAGTGGTTCTTAGTCTTGACCACATTTTGTAGAAAATCCTAATTTTCTCTGTAATTGTAACATTCAACACTAGGTTGTAGACTGTTTGTCTCATGATGTGCAATGACGGTTATATCTGTTAACTAATGATTAATCAGTGTGCGCTAGTGAGGCAGTCAGTGTTGCTGCTGTGGAACCATGTTAGCGCTTTCCTTTGTGAGTTTTGGGAAGGTGGTGAAAAGTTGCTTTCGAGCCCTGTACAATAGCTCTCATGCATCCTGCTGTAAACATATGCCTGAATTTGCTATAGAAGAACAGAATTATACTTTTCTTTGTTTTGTCATCAGACATTGAAAAACAAACATTTGTTGTGCGGTTGATAAAAATAATAATGGTTATTTTCAAAACAAGCAACTACAAAGTGCTTTACAATTCAGACATAAAAAGGACCAAGGAGAGAATACAATTCCAGATACGCATACATTTATCCACATATATGTAATTACATATATAAATAAATCAGTAAAGGTTATAAGAAAGCCAAATTACAACTTGATGACAACGTTTGACAGAGAGGTGGAATATGTTTAAGTCGTGCTGCTGCAGACTGATCTTGTCCACTTTGCAGGCGAGGCGCAGTTCATCTCAAATGAGCCTATTTTGACTTGTCATAGTAGGAAAAGCACAGTTGTTACTTAAGGCTCTATTCAAGTGTCCCAGTAAGCCATGGCAGTAGGCTCGTTTGAACCGCGTTTCACTTGGAAAGGGGACGTGAGCAGGCCTTGGCAGCAGGGTGCAAAGCTACAGAAAGCTACAGTGAAGATGGGAAGTTTCCAAAAGCCTTCACAGTCTCAACAGGAAGTCAGAGAAACACTCACATGCCCTTACATCCACTTCTGATTTATTTCAATGTTATTAGACCAATCTGTTCAGCTTGTACTCAGTCTCCAATAATTACTGTTGTAATTATGTTCTTTTATACGACAGAGTAGCCTATTAAAATTCTATTTAGGCTATCTGTGATCATCATGACGTTCACTTTACACTCGAGTTTAAATGGGCTACAACAGACATGCCATCCTCTCAGTTTGCTGCTGTGTGTAAGTCAGCTGCCCACACTTGATTGCTGTGCCTGTCGCTCTCAAACTAAAGAAACTCAAAACATGAATCCATAATTAAAATTCACAGTGAGAAGATATAAAACAATACGTTTCATTATTGATCTGTCAGATAATTAGACTGTCAGGGCTTCACATCACGTGTCATTTTAAGAATCCTCACAGCTCACTTTTAAGCAAAGGTTTTGTATTATTTTATACCTTAAGAATTCAAAAAGATTTATGTTGTAGACTACAACTATTACATATTGTATGCAGTCTGAAAGCTATTTGTAAATGAAGCTGAATGTATTCATTGTGATAAAAGTGAGCACTGACCACACTTATTCTGTTCACACAATAAACCGTATAATAAAATCAACATCTCTGCAATTAAACAGAAAAATGAAACGTTTCTGTAGAACACCATGTTGTTGATCCAACACAGAGAGCTAGGCGTTTCCCATCATGCCCTGTAGTTCTGCTGTCGGTAGAAAGCAGCTGCCTTGATCATTATTATTAGTATTACCATTACTATCACCCCATTCCACATAGATTAAAATTGGCTGCTATTTATTTATTTACTTTTTTTTTACTGACTGTTCTTTTGCACTGTTACTGTTACAAATATATTTTACATACTTTTTCGGCTGCCATTACCATCTGCCTTTTTGCACTACCACAAGTATTGTATATTTTATATTATTGTATATTTTATTGTCTGTTGTGAAATTGAATGTTTAAATTTTAGTATTAGGAAATGTCTGATCTGCCTGTGCACTTTATCTGTTTCACTGTGGGAGAGTGAGAAACGTCCTCTCGATTCCTTGTATGTCTGGTGCATGTGAAGAATTGACATTAAAGCTGACTTTGACTTGATATCATGAGGTTTTCTTTGCTTATGTTTGCAAGAAGTCAGAGCATGTAGGGATCAAGTTGGATAGAAATGTAACCTGCATGCACGGTGCTCAGAGATGTCAAAATGTCAAAATGAAAAAGGATTGTCCCCATTTTAGCTCTGCCTAATCCAGTGGTTAATTAACATCTGTGTGAGTGAACCAAAATGCTCATGGTTCAATGCTTTGTGTTTAACTTAACTTCATTTTGCATCCTCCACACGTCATTCTTAAAAGATCTCAACTACAAGACATTAAATGTAGGCTATACATTCAAACCAACCAACAGAGTTCCCCACTGCCACACATTATAATTTCAATCTTAACATGAGTAACAAAAAAGTGTATAGTTTCTGACTACAGCACTGTGTAATGCATGTCCTCCCCACTGATAGGCTGATTTCACCGGTGAGGTCACAGCATAAGAATATGCCCATATATGGTAAGGTATGACAGAAGGCGTTAGGCTATTCAAACGCATGTAGCAAATTGGAAGTTCATATAAGCCACATGTGGATCTTTTAACTTCAGTACTGACATGGTTAAATATGTCAAAGACTAATCTGACATATACTCAAAAGTAACTTTATGTTGACTGTAACATTAGTTACAAGGTTTGCCTGTTGTCTTCCTGTGCCTGAAGTTGACCGTTCTCAGGGGGAACGTTGGCTGTATTTTAATTTAATACAGAAATACTGTTAACTACTTCAGGTACAGTATCTGACCGGACACAAGCAACCACAACAGGAACATGTCGTTCAACGTTCCTGTTTTCTACTTTGCATCGGCTGACTGATAGCGATGCTAACGTTAGCCCTGATATATCTAAAAGGTGCCAGTTTAACTGGTTAGTGCACAGCGGTAATCCCGCGAGAACTCATGAATAACAATATGAAGTTACATCATCTTTATGAATCCGTCACACTGTCACATTGTCAATTAGTGTTAATTGGTTACTTCAGCATCTGTCTTCTGTTGAACGTGAACTTCCTTCCGCGGGTTCCCTCTGCAGTCTCTCACTCACGGCCCAGGAACTAGACACATGCAAACACATAATGGCCTTCCAGAAAGAATACATCTTTACATTTGCAAAACTGGATTGACAGAAATATCATTCTTCTTGCAGAAGCTCAACTTCTCAGCTATGAGGATTTTCTTAATTCTAAAGTCTTTCTTGTCGCTTATAAAAAACAATAATAAATGCTATTCCTAATGGAATCCTTCAGTTGATGAGATGCCACACAGAGACAAGAATTATACACATTTAACCCTACTTTCTTTGTTAATAGTATGAATATAAAAGTAACAAATGTACCAACAAACATATGAGGAATTATCTCTACAGCAAAAGGAAAATTACTTTTTTTAAAAAAAATATTTACTGGGAAACAACATGGCTTCTCCCAAATACATTAGTCAAACCCAAGAAACTGAAAGAACATTATTGTGCATAAACTGCCCCACCAACAAATGTGTCAACATTTGTGGATACTGATAATAAATGACAAACTTCTGTTCTTTGTCAGTACACATCCGTATTCTGGATATATAGAATTGTCAACTTATTACATTTATTATGGAAATGTCACATCCATAGAACCATCATTTGATCCTTTTAAAATTAAATGTAGAAAGAACTGAGTCTGTCCGATCTATAAACAATGAAAAAAAAATGTCTTCACTTAGTATGCTACAGCAGTTTTATGGAAATATGAATCTGACCTTATTGCCTACATTTCTATTACATTACTCCCTCAGTAATTCTCTTCCTATATTTATTATTACCTGTTGCAAGTGGAGCCATGTTCTATTATCCTTTTTCATTATGATGTTCTAATGTTCCATACCTTTTGAGTTATGTCTGTTTAAAGTGACAAGTTCAAAACCAAAATACATAATGACATTTTATTCATATTGACATAACTTATACAGGTTCTTTCAGTTTTTACTATATATAATAAACATTTAATGTTTAATAATGGTCAACTCTAAATCACTGTTCTTATTAGGGAAACCCTTTCTTAAAGCAATTTTATGGTGGCTTACTAGTCATATTGTCCAGCTATGCCATTTAGCTATACTGAAAATAGCCCATGGAAAGAAGTGGAGGGATAGAAGCCAAATATGAACCCCCGGCAATGTCCAGGCTTAACACTATCTGGGACTATTATAGTACCAAAACAAAAAATACACCTTGTCACAATCAGTGCCACACAGCAGTTCAACCCAGGACCTGTGTCTGGGTTTCATGGTTTTATTGGAAATTAAAGACAGGGCACAGTTACAGCAGAGAGCCTCAGTCAAAGTTTAATGTTAAATCCCTATGCAAATATAAAAATACTAAGTCTATACAGTATGAAAATAGGAAGGCATAAGGAGTTGTGCACATCCACAATAGGATAATGGATAAAAACTACATCTCACTTCACACCTTTGGGCAGTGGTTCCCAACCTGGTGGTTGGGACCCCCACTAGAAGTTGCCATAGCTTCACAGGGTTCACAAGGCCTTCTAGATTTTAAGGGGTGTAAGAAAAACTTTACAAATATATACAGCAGGCCTACATCATCCTAGCGTTTTATTCATTTCTGTAAAGAAAACTAAATGGAATTGTAATTTTCAATGTTTAGATTATTATTTAAGTTAAGTTTTAGGGAGAAGATAACACTAAATTTATACATAATATAGACAGTTAATTGAAGAGAAAAGTTCCTAAAAACATCAGGAAAACAAAAACTCTGATGCTTCAAAGGAAATAATCTGCGAGAACTTCCTCCAAATTGCTCATGTTGCCCAAACTTAAGGGGCCCCTTAATGAAAAAGGTTAAGAACCACTGCCTTAGTTGATATATCAGAACAATCCATTTCAGCTACGTTGACTTGAGGATTCTCTCCCTTAAATCAGGATACAGGATTTTACTACTGCTGATGTCACTATCAACATTTTACCAGTTTCCAGTTTGTGCGTAATGTTGTAGTCAAATGCTGTTCCTTCAGTTTGACCACAGAGTCTTCAGACTGTGCATTAAACCTTACTCCAGTTTTTTAAGATTTCCCCTGCTGCATCCAGAGTACTATCTTGCTGTTGAGAGAAAGACAACTGAAGGTTATGAAAACACCTCCAACGCCAACAATAGTCTTTACAAGATCATTCTGGATGTGCTGTGTTTTTGTATTTACCTTAATGAAGCAAAGGCGAATATATTTCTCGAACTGCTTCTTGGACTCATCTCCAACAAACGCTGTGACTGGAATGGCTGCCAGTTTCTATTTATAATATCATTATTAAGAACAGCAACAAAAAATAAAAACAATGGCTGCAGCGTCAGTACGGAATTGCAGTATTGTATATTATAGGCGGCAAAAAAATGAACTTACCTTTTCTTTAATCATCCACTTCACAAACTTGTAGTCATATGCTTCATCATCGAGTATGTGTGACAGGTCCTGATCTGCAATGAACACAGAGCATAGAGGAATAGTCAGCAATAGGGCTGGGGTCAGTCCCACAGCTGATCCGGTTCCAAGTTGGTAAAATACCAGGATTTTTTAAGTTCAATTTAAAAAACATTTTTTTATTGGTATAAGGCGAAGCAGGAAGCATTTCCGGTACAAATTTATGAAGGATTTATCCAAATACAGAGATATGTCCAGTAGAAATATCTGAATTTTAGTTCTAATTCAAACAAGTTTTGCCTGTCTAAATATTAAATTACACATTAAAAGCTGTTTCATTTCAAAGCTGTTTTACAAAAAATACTTTTTTCTATATTTGTAGTCCCCTAGAATAAATATGTTTTATGAATGTCAATCATTGAGTTCTATTTTAAAATGACTGAAAATTGTTTTAACTTTTACTACAATTGCTGTGAGTTTATTTGTTCCTGCATTGAAAATACACATTCTTTAACTCTAAAAAGGGATGCAAATAGATGCTTAGGTGCAAATAAACGTAGGTCCGCCTGTTCATGTGTCAAAGGACACATTTCCATTCAATGTATGTTAAATTAATGAGAATATGACAATAATGGGTAAAGGGCCCTGTTTTTCTTCTTCTTTAAACTGAGCTACTATGTTAAACATATCTGGTAACTCTCCCATCACAGTGACAATGTTAGCATGCACTATATATATATATATATATATATATATAGTATGATATATACAAAATATACAATAATATATATAATAATACTATATATTCTAATGAATTTTCCTACTTTTCTTTCCCTTTCCCTCTTTTTCAAAGTGCAGTGGCAAAAGTGGAACAGCTGGAGGCGCTCAAGCCATTTTGCCTCTTGGCATCAAAAGAGGAGTTTGACCTGTGTGTTTCTACTGACCAGAAACAAGAGTTGACCATAAACAGGCAAGAGGCCGTGTGTCACATACTGGAGTAAAACCTCCAAGTGAGTGTCATTTGAATGTCCAAAGTACGCTCCTAAAGCCCTAAGACTATGGGCATATCCCACATTTCTGAAATCATTTCTGTGAAGCACATAACATCAACATGAAATCTGAAATTGTTAAGGAAAAACTAAATTAGCATTAGAATGAGCAACCAAGCTGTATGTATCCACACTACTTAATAATAATAATAATAATAATAATAATAATAATAATAATAATACTACATTCTATTTAAAGGCGCCTCTCTGGGCACTCGAGGACACCGTACAACACATAAAAAGTAAAAACAGTAAGAAATAAGAAACAGATAAAAAAAGACAATGTAGAGAGTTAAGTGGGGTATGCAGTTCTGAATAGGTGAGTTTTTAGTCTTGATTTGAAGACTGTGAGAGAGTCCAGGTTCCTGAGGTCCGGTGGGAGTGAGTTCCAGAGTTGGGGGGCAGAGCAGCTGAAAGCCCTGCTTGCAAGCAACACCAGTGTAAAAGTGCTAGTGATGTCAGTTTAAATGCACTGTAACTCACTGAGAGATGTGACATCCACGAGCATGAAATAGCCTCCCTCTGGGATGACGGGAGTCATACCAGCCTCTTTCACAATGGCAGCCATGCGGTCCCTCTTGCCCTCGAGTTCTTCTGCCAGTGAGGAGAAGTAGCACTCAGGCTGACCCATAAGATCAAAGTTCCTGAGCAAACCTTGTGCCACGGCCTCCTGAAGACATACACACAGATACAGGTTTCAGACTGAAAATATAATTAAATGATCCTTTGCTTTCTTTTATGGATTTCAAGGAACATTTTTTGAGAGCTGTGCAAACTTGCCTGTAAAGGTGTTGGGCAGGTGTACAGAGTATTCTGCATGACGGTCTGAAGATGCTTTATCAAGTGTTCAGGTCCTATAGACCAACCAAGCTAGGAGACACAAATTTCAACTACATGATATGCAAGAACTGATTGTTGGTTGTTAGAAATTGTGTTCCAAATATACAGATTTCTTACCTTCCACCCAGTAACACTAAATGTTTTCCCTGCACTGCTGATAGTGATTGTTCTATCCCACATTCCAGGCAGAGTGGCTATAGAGAAACAAAATAATATTAAAACTTCAGGAAATTTTCATTTATTTGAGAAAATGTTTAAGAATAAAGTGTAACATTTTTTAAGTTGTCAAATTTAAGAACATAACTGTATGCCAAAAAAGATGCTTTCTATAGAAATGTGCAGTAAGTAAATAAATAAATAAATAAATACATACTCCTCAGTGTTGGATGAGACTGTGTGAGGCTGCAACCAAACTAGTCCTGGTTACAGCACTCAAGGGTTGGACTCTGAACTGTGGCCCTTTGCTGTGTGTCATTCCCCCCCCCACTCTCTACACTGTTTCTGTGTCTTACTTCCAGATCTGTTCTGTGCAGCTTGATGGGTCTTCTATCAAAAACAGACCAGCTGTGTATTCTCTACGTAGCAGAGCAGAGAGCCACTTCTGGGATGCCTCTGAAACACAGTGCGGCACTTCTGGTGGAATCACAAGCACTGTCTAGAATGGCTGCAAAAGCTCTGTGATGCAATCAATCAGTACCCGGCTAAGGAAAGCATTTCACCAGTTAGCTTTCTGGCCACAGTAGCACGCCAACTAGCCCTGCAAGTAGTTACAGTGCTTCTTCACCAACACAGGACATGTGAATGCATTTTGCCGTTTTTGCAACTTTCTGGTGCGACTGGACCCTAAAGCAAGTGATGCTGCATGTTTTAGAGATATCGATGCCTGTATCTGTGTTTAAAGAGTAGAGCAGCCTCTATTATGTAAAGAGATAGATGACAGTAGCATATGTAACAGTAGGTTGCGCTGAAAACGTGCCAATTTTGATATGTTGGTGTCCCCTGTAGACGAGCCACTCATAAACCTCATCACTGAAGCACAGTGTGTCATGTTTAATACAGAGGTCAGCAATCATCTGCAGCTCATCTCTGGTGAAAACCTGCAGGAAGAAGACAGGAACTACTGAAAGCACTTGTTTTCTCTGTCAAGTCACTAGTGTTTTCCTCAGAGTGCTGACTAATGTATACTTACCTTCCCAATAGGATTGTTGGGGGTGTTGATGATGATGGCCTTTGTCTTAGAGTTGAATTTAGTGGAAAGCTCATCTGGGTCAAGAAACCAGTCGGCACTTGTGATGGTCTTTTTCCGGACTTCTAAAATATTGCACAAGACATTTTGTGTTATTGCGTGTAAATCCTACAAACATCCACAAGGCGTACAGTAGGTAAAGTAAATACTGCATGTATGGAACATACAGACTTCAGATTAAACTCACAAGGCGTAACGGTATCAACACAGGCTTGGCCCCTGCCATTCGCACCATGGGTACATAGCAATCGAAAAAAGGCTCTATTATGATGACCTGGAGGAAAAAACATGATACATTAAATATACTGTAAATACTGGAAGCGCATTTGTGAATGTATATATGAATGTCTATAAATGTATGGCCCAGTTGACAATAGAAATGTCCTTACCTCATCTCCCTCTTCCACTAGTCCTTGCATGGTGCTGAATAAAGAACCATAACCTCCTACTGTGACCAGGATTTCTTTGAAGGGGTCGATCTGGCGCCCGTAGACCTTCCCATAAACCTGAGAAAGGGCCTTCACCAAAGATGGATGACCCTTGTAAATCAACAGAAGACATAAGTTATTAAAAAAATAGCAATAGCAAATATTTAATTGAATACAGTATTATAATGTACATTTTAACTTGGTACTTGATATTAACTTCAGTGGTTTCTCCTATCTCAGCACTTACAAACTGCAGCTTTGAAAGACCAGCGTGTATTGTTGGATACAAGATGACAATAATCAACTACAGTTCATCTTTTCTGCAATGCAAAATTTTACCAAATAATCAACTATTATTTTTAAATTTAATTGTGAGATTTGATTGAATAATGTCCAACACCGATAATTTTCTCTCACACAATGTGACAGGCCTCTGTGCTGTATAAACATTATTACAATTGTCAAGACTGTGTAAAGGGGCCTTTAGAGGTCAAACAGAAAGCATCAAATTCTGTCTCTAGTCTCTTAGCAACACCTTTCCTTTTCAGATGGATTTATAAGCAATTTTAAATAACCTGTTTCAAAAACAGTTTGCGTTCTGTATTCGTGTCTTACAAAGCCTCTGGTGTACTGGTTCATCCTGTCCACTAATGCCGCCTCTGCTAGGGCCTGCTTGACGTAAGAAGGTGGAGGGATGTCTGGGTAGCCTTGGCCCAGGTTCACAACGGATGGGTCTGCTGCCAATGATGTAAACGCCACCCTTAATTGACAATAAAATAAAGCGAGATCACAAATTGTTCCTGACCCAAGGGCAAATTCTTAAAACCATCTTTTAAACTAAACCTATTGCAATGGTTGTATATCAGCTTTGACTGACTGTCATTTCTTCTGCTACATGCACAGTCACCTATATGTGTTTTCCTTGCATGTTGTTTTTAAACACGTGAATAATGGAAGAAACATGGTTTAAGCTATAGGCCAGTAATACAAATACATCAGTCATTTTGTATACAGATCCCCCACTTCCTTTAAATTGTGTAAATGAAATGAATCAAAACAAAATGAAATAAAGAATATGAGGCTACTGTACTTCACACCCTACTTGCTGGAATTACTTTGCTCTTCTAACATGCGATCTGGCTGGCTTTCATGTAATACAAGAATAGTGTAAAATGGAAACTTGATCAGAGGTCTGCAAACGAAACTCCTCTCCTGCTGTGCTCTACAAAGAGATGAATTGTTCTGTCCTTTCACTTACCAGACATTCTTATCCAGTCCTTCAATTCTCTTTGAGTGAGTGTGCCGTGAGGTCATTGTACGCTGCAACCCAAAACCAAGATACTAAATTAACGGCTTATTAAAGGATCCATTTACATTTTTACCTTCTTGCAATACCGACAATGTAAATACTTTTCCAACAAGCTGGGTGGTAGAAGTAAAAGAATCATTAAACTTCCACGTATGGTGCTGTTCATTAACACACTAGGACTTTGGTCAGTGGTTTTGTAAGTGTTGTGACCACATTGGTGCATACTTTACATTACTTATATTTACTTAAATAGCTTTTGTCTCATTTACAGTAAGTCCTGCCAATCAGTTTATCACCAACCAAATATTATGCACAGTAGCTAAATTCAAAGATTTGAGATAAACTTACCTGTGAAGTACACAACCTTCGTCTGCAGCTTATGTTAGCTGAACGACATGCAAACTTGAAGCAATTCAGGACTTGTCGTGCTATGCTCATGCTGCACACAGAGAGAGAGAGAGAGAGATGAGAAATACAATGAAAAAGATTTTTGCTTATGGTGCTCCCCTGTGATAGCTGGTAATGCTCTGCATACATGTTTGCTTCTTTCACACTGAACGCTTGCTCAGCTGTATCTTTCTACATGCACATCTATTTGCAGTTGTTGTAAAGTTCATGAAACTGACATTTCCCACTGCACCGCTCTTTTTAGGACACCAACTGCAACAAACGTCACCAGAGGTCGGTCAGTGTTAATATCAGACCAATATATTACCTCTCTCTTCAACATATAGCTGAATAAAATGACTCTGAAATGAGGAGGAAGGAGTCGTGAAAGAACAGATAATGTGACAATAATTCAGTGAATCTGGCAATGTAACGCTGTGTCTCTCTGTTTTCACCTTTTAGTATGTTTGGGTTTTTTCCCCCCAACACCTTTAATGACAATCCAATAACATATGTACACAAGGTAAAAAAGAACACATTTAGAAGAGCACATAATGTACATTCAAGTAGCTTAAATCAATAATAGTACAGTAAGTTACTAACCTCTGGTCTTTGCTGTTTTTGCTTTTCTGCAATATGACTAATGAATTAGAGTAGTTTTGTATAGCTGATGGGACAAAAAGTAAGTGAAGAGAGCACCTTGGTCTCCAGGAACTAGTGAACGGCTGTCCCTCACTATTGTATTGAAGTTACAGTAGTCCTGCGAAGCTACAACAGTAACGTTAGATGGCGCCAGAATGCTACACATCAGTCCAGCACACAGCCTCAACCAGACGTAGCCCTTCGCTATAAACAATGCCATTATCCGCTACAGCTATTATGAAACCACTGTCGGGGAGACCTTTGTCCACATGATTTGCCCTCAGCAGATTTGTGTTAGTCCTCTGAACCACATGAAGCCTGCATGTTGTCAGTAAACCGTGTGTTATCGTTAGCTACATCCATACAACGTATCACGCCGCCTGGCTAACGCTAGCGCCGTCGAGCTAACGTAGCTTTAGCCAGCAGTAGCGACATTTACTTATGGCTGTTAAAGTGTCCTGTTAGCTTTCTCTTGTAATGATTTACAGTGATTCCAACTACTGCCACCAGTCTCTCTTTAAAGAACACCTACCATGTAACGGTTGCTGACAGAAGTCAAGCCAGCACCAGGTCAGCAACCACAACTTACTTGAAGTTACAGTGTACTGCCAGAACAGGGCTCAGCACTCCAGCGGTCAGCGGTCAGGAGGTGGATACTGTACGGTATCATACGTCGTCGAGGGCTGGAGAGAGTGGTGCTGCGTTTACTGTTGGTGGAAAATGGCAGTGTTTACATGTAGGTCACGGTCAACGACGCAAATGTGGTTTTAATGTTCAGTGATACTCAGGTAGCATAAAAACGACGGGACCATCGGGAGAAATAGAGCAGGGTTGCTTTAAGTGTATTTCCTCTTCAGTATTTGCTTGTTGAGGATAATCAGTTTAAATAACACAGACCTGTCTGACACACATTTATTTTATTATTATTATTATTTTCTGCAGCCGGTCACTGCGTCAGAATAGTTTTATTTGGGCCAATGGACATGTTTCCTCTCATTACGCAACACTCACATAACGGGAATTTATTCTAGGACTTTCTACTTGAGAACCGTGAAGGCAGCATTATCCCGAGCTGCACGGAACAGCTGTACGGTGATGTCCACTTCACGCACCTTCGAGAAAATTCAGATTTTACATGTTAGGAATGAGATAAGTAATCTTTCTGATTGCTTACTTAGTTTTTTGTACTTCTTTGTTTCCTGTCATTCTAACTTATTACTGTTGCAGATTATTGTATAACCAAAGCTTCATGGGGGACTGATTTTAAAGTTTGTACGAAAAAAACAAAAACATTTTTGCACCATATGCCACCTTTGTGCAAACTGACCTCTTAATTATTATTCTTATCAAAATAGGTGATCACAATAGGCTACAGACACGCATGCACGGTTTCTCAGGGCTTATGATATAAATAAATGGTTATTCCATTATGCAGGAGTTCAGTTTGCACAAATTCATTTATTCATTCATGCTGGCTCCACAATGGAACAAGCTCCCCATTGACATCAGGACAGCAGAAACTCTACACATCCAGACCAAAAACACACCTGTTAACACTGCACCTCTGCCCAGAAATAAAAAATATATATTCTCCTTTGTTGTAAATGTAGCACTTATGCACTTATTGTAAGTCTCTTTGGATGACAGCGTCAGCTAAACGAGTGGAGTGGAATTTACATATCGGATATCGAAATTAAGTTAGTTACCTCAGCTCTGTTTGAGATCAGGAAACCACTGCACGCTGACCTGCTGAAGACAGAATTTGACATGTCTTAACAAGTTTTGCTTATGCCTAACCAGCTAACAGTCATATATCTGTAGGGTCTTAGGAATATGTCATATCTGAGTGCCTTTAGTCAAGTAGAGCTTCATTTGTCCCTAGAGGGACAATTGGTGGATTGTCAGTGCTTGGATGTTTCAAATTATCAACAGGCTCTGTCTTGTGATTGAATTCTTGATTGGTTTAGAAGTGTTTCCTGTATGACACCTGGCAGTCTGCAGTATTTCTAATGGTTTCCAGATTTTCTGGGAATCCATTTGCTAACCTGTAGAAAGTTTTCACCGGAGCATCAGGAGCACCTGCTTTGTGTTATATCACTGTCTAATCTGAGGAGCTCTTCCTCACTTTACAGAGGTTTCCAGCTGTTTCTTCTTCTGTAATGGATAGATCAATGCCTTTCAGGGAAATGCCTGTCAAGCTTTCAGTAGCAGCTCAGTACATAAACCTCAGGTCACTTATGATAGTTACTGTCTTACTGTCTGCACTTTGCAAACACTGTAAACAGCAGAGAATGATATAAGAATTTGACTTAACTTTAATCATAGTTACATCATGGTTGTGGTGTTTTTCAGTGTTGTCAATAGTGACACTCCTTGTTATGCTTCAGGTAAATGTCCTTGCTTTTTGTTTGTTTGTTTTTGTTTTTTCATAGAATTTAATTAAAGTATCTTTTTTTGATTGGAGTACTTTGTTACCACATGTCATTGATGCCCTATCATATAAAGCAAACATTAGGGACTGTATGGAAATTATTTTGGGGGAAAGTGGGTCAGAAAAGGGAATTTTTGGGAGAACAGGTGAAGGTCTTTTATTATTGAGTAAATTGACATGCATTTCAACCTTACTTTGCAATATAGTTACATACATAGTTATATCAAAAATACAACTCTCACATGCACTATGGTTCATAACATTGTTTTTTGCCATATAGAGAGGACAACAATTCTGTCTCTGTATCAGGGTTTTGTATTTATGTGTAAACTGGAGGATTAGAGGTTCTATTTAGATATTAAGGTTTAAATTGGGGTACATGATTAAGATGTACCAGTTTAATGTTGTTGTTTTTTTTACATGCTGTGAGAGTTGCAGTTTTTTGCCAGTACCCTAATTCAGCACGACACTAACCCTAATTATTTTACTGTTTTTTATCTTCTTTAACAAGGACATTTTTAGAGTACCTCACCAGCATTGCTGTATGCAGGGTTTTAGAAATACAGCAATCCAAAAACTGAACTTGCTAGGGGCATCAAAGAATCAAAGTAGTTATTTTTAGACAATTATTTCACAACTTTTATTGTATACCCCTCGGAGAAAATGCTGACGTCCAGACCTTGGTGACCTCAATGGTGGGTTTGCCCATTCTCAACAGAGGTGGTGGTACTTAGTAAGAAGGAAGGGTATTTATGTAGACATTAATGCCAAAGAGTGCCAGTACTCAGTACCTGTGGCCCATTTCAGGCACTGAATTAGCTGCTTTTATACAAAGTGAAACAATAAGGTTCAGCACCCCTCACCATCCCAATAATAGTTCTACAATCCCTTACCTTGTTATCTTCTGAGTTGAAAAGGGATATCAGGCTCAGACAGTACAGAGTCTTTCTACCAAATGATGTGCCAAACAGTGGTTTTAGGTTCAAGTAGGACAAATATATAAACAAAACATACCCTCATAGACATAAATTAGAAAAAATATTAGTCATACCTCTCAGTACAATGCAATGTGATTTTACAAATCCACAAACAACTGCTTCTGCCATGACCATAAAACTAATCAAACATATGAAACAGTTTTTGTGAAGGTAAGATTATTGCATGGCTGTTGCATTAGATTGCATTAGTTGTAGCTCGGTGAACCTAATAAACCAGCAAGTGGATGTATGCTTAGAATGAATACATATATTTATATATCTTATTATCTTGCCAGTGTATGCTAGTCCAGAGGCGTCAGAGTGACTCACTGAGTAAGTAGACTTCAGCCCACTAAGTTCTACATTTCAAGACATGCTGTGATGGAAAGTAAAAGACAATTTCCTTATGGCAATCAGTTAGATTCTTCATTATTAATGTAATACATTGGACCTGCACTATACTCCCGTCTATCAGCAGCAAAAGGAAATCTTCAAATGTCAGTCATTGTAATAGCTAGTAGGTCATAATAGTCTCAAACACAGCTGTAAAAGCTGAGTGCTCCAAACAGCTTGAAAGCCTTCCTGCACAGGGGGCAGATGGAGAAAGTGGAGTGTGAAGGAGGGGGAAGGTAACTAATAACAGTTACTCAAATGCTGTACCATTTTGATGTTCATGAGTATTTCCATTTTTCACTACTTTATACCATATTACATTTCAGAACGAAAAATTGTACACTTTACTCCACTACCTTTATTTTCAAACTATTTTTTTAAATTTAGATTTTAGGCGACATTACAAGAAAACATGTGATCAGCTTATAAAATACAACGCATAACTAAAGGATATAAACCAATATTAATGTAATAAAAGGTGCACTTTTATGTTTTTGTTCTAGTTTTGGTGTATTGTATTCAAATGTTCAGAGGTATGAGAGCTGATTGCAGTATCATTTTTTAATATGAACTCTTTTAGACTATTCTGTATGTTTTCTATGACTGCAAAATTAGTCAACGGGGCACAGAGTAACGTGAAAAGAAATCGCTATTTCTATACCACTAACAAGACTCAAAATAGCACCACACTTACACGGTAGCATAATGAGGGCCCCTATGTATAAACCGAAGCATTGAGAACTTTGTAAGTGTACAGACAGTTTATTAAAAAGATAGTTTAGAACAATGGTAGCGTTCACGTCTACAGGCGGGCGCCATCTTGGGAAAACAGTCCCGCGACCAGTCGAACTCTCTGAGATGTGACGTGAATCTCGCGTGAAACGTTGTTGTCGGAAGAAAGCACTGAGCGCAACAGAGACTAGTGCTTCCACAGGACACACACTGAAGACATGGCGGATTATTCAACCAAATTTTCTTTTCACGTTACTCTGTGCCCCGTTGACTAGCGTTATTAGCTGATTAGCAGTTTGTGCTAAAACTGGTCACGTTCGATTAGCGTGCAAACATATCCCAGAGAACGGACCAACTCGGTACACATCCGTTATTAACCCCAGGTTCATTTTGCGCCGGAATTGTCCTTTAACAATGCAAATCAGGGGAAAAGGGTTCTTGTTGTGTTTGAGGGTCTAGACTTTTAAACAATAATACATTTCCTCCAAAACATTACATGAACATGTTAAGAGAGAAGCCTTCCATTTCCTAAAAGTGAATATTTGTAATAGTGCTGCTGGACCCACCCAACAACAGTCTCAGGGGGCAATTTAGATACTAAGCACGTTTACTTGTAATCAGGGGCTGGGAGTTACTTTAAAAATGGAATCTCATACAGTTACTAATTACCTGCTAAAAAATGTATTCAGTAACCTAATCCAAGTATCACAATATTAAAGTAACGTAACTTGATTACTTTCTGTTACCTTTGGATTACCTCAACACCAAATATGCAGATAAAAACTCTCCACATTGTCTTTTTCCTGTCTGTTTCTTATTTCTTACTGTTTTTTATTTTTATGTATTGTACGGTGTTCCTCGAGTGCCTTTAAATAAAATGTATATTATTAAAAACAGAACAATGTAACCATAGAAAAGAA